CCATGAGATTGGGGCTGCTCAGGAAGTTTTAAAGAGAGTTAAAGAGTTCCTGACCAGGCAGCTCTGAATTGTTTTACACCCCTGAGATCACAGGAACAGAGGCACCAATCAAACATGAAATTAGAAGTTTCTAAACTTTAAGTTTTAAAACAAAGAAAATTGAAATATTTAAAGGTTTCAGAGTAAGGGTAGGGCAGGAACAAAAGGACATGAGAAAGGAAGAGGGGATGACCAGAAAAACTCTGTTTTTTACAACACTTTTTTTTTTCACTGCTACACCTCTCAGACAGATCTGGGTATGCTGCCTTTGAATGGCACAGATCGTTGTTATGAGACATGAGCTACAGACTTAAAGCAAGATACAATATTCCCAGAAGTGCCTGGAAGAACCTACAGGGTCTATACCTTTAGCCTTTGGGCCTTGGCTATCTCTGGCGATATACCTTCAATAAATCATGCTTGGAAATGTAAATTGTGAGTCTGTGCTCTGTATTTTTTTCTCTAATTATAGGCTAGCCACAGGATCACCTATTTAGAGAATTGTGCTGATGGGGAAAGTGGACTGGAAAACTGCGTCAACTCACATGGCTTATCATCCTCTTGCTTCCACAGCCAGTTTTGAATCATTGAAGTCTTTTTATTTCTGGAGTCTTTTTTAATTGTATGTTATTTTATTTTCCAATTATATGTAAAGATAATTTTTAGCATTCATTTTTACAAAATTTTGAATTCCAAATTTTTCTTCCTCCATCCCTTTTCTCCTCTCTTCCTAAAATGGTAAGCAATTAGATATAGGTTATATATGTGCAATCATGTAAAACATATTTCTATATTAGTCATATTGTGAAAGAAGAAACAGACCAAAAAGAAAAAAACATGAAAAAAATAAAGTGAAAATAGTATGCTTTAATCTGCATTCAGAGTTCATTAGTTTTTTCTCTGGATATGAATAGCAATTTCTATCATGAGTCCTTTGTAATTGTCTTGGATCATTGTATTGCTGAGAAGAGCTAAGTCTATCATAGTTGATCATCACACAATATTGCTGTTACTTTGTACAATGTTTTCCTGGTTCTTCTCATTTCACGTTGCATTATTTCATGTAAGTCTTTCCAGGTTTTTCTGAAATCCACCTGCTTATCATTTCTTATTGCACAATAGTATTTCATTACATTCATATACCACAGCTTATTCAACTATTCCCCAATTGAAGGGCATCCCTTCAATTTGCAATCTTTTGCCATCACAAAAGACCTGCTATACAATCATGATCTTAGACAAAGCAAAAGCAAAAATAGGTCTAATTAAAAGAGATAAAGAAGGAAATTATATCTTGCTGAAAGGTACCATAGACAATGAAGTCATATTAATACTAAATATATACACACCAAATGGCATAGCATTTAAAGTTTTGAAGAAGCTGAATGAGTTATAGGAGGAAATAAATTATAAAACTATACTAGTGGTAGACTTCAACTTTTCCCTCTCAGAACTAGATAAATCTAACCCAGGGGTGGGGAACCAGCAGCTTTAAGGCCACATGTGGTCTACTAAATCCTTAAGTGTGGCCTTTTGACTGAATCCAAATTTTACAGAACAAATCTTTTAAGGATTTAATTCTTAACTATTAATCTATTTAAGGATAGAAACAATCGATAGTTTCATTAAAGAGAATAACAACAATGAGACAACATACCAAAATTTATAGGATGCAGCCAAAGGGAGAACTTATCTCTAATTGCGTACATCAAAAAAAAAAGAGAAAAAAACCCAGACCAATGAATTGGGCATGCAACTAAAAAAAAAACTAGAAAAAGAAAAAAAAATCCCCAATTAAACACCAAATTGGAAATCCTGAAAATCAAAGGAGGGAGTAATAAAATTGAAAGTAAGAAAACCATTGAACTAATAAATAAAACTAGAAGTTGGTTTTATGAAAAAAAAACAATAAAATAGATAAACCATTGGTTAATTTGATTTAAAAAAAGAAAGAAGAATACCAAATTACTAGTATCAAAAATGAGAAGGGTTAATTCATCACCAGTGAAGAAGAAATTAAGACAAATGTTAGGAGCTATTTTGCCCAATTATATGTCAATAAATTTGACAATCTAAATGAAATGGATGAGTATCTACAAAAATATAAATTCCCCAAATTAACAGAAGAAGAAATAAAATACTTAAATAACCCAATCTTAGAAAAAGAAATTCAACACGCCATAAATAAACTTCCTAAGAAAAAATCCTCAGGACCAGATGGACTCACAAGTGAATTCTACCAAACATTTAAAGAATAATTAATCCTAATACTATATAAACTGTTTGGAAAAACAGATGAAGAAGTCCTACCAAATTCCTTTTATGACACATATATGGTACAGATACCCAAACCAGGAAGAGCCAAAAGAGAGAAAGAAAATGATAGACCAATTTTGCTAATGAATATCAATGCAAAAATTACAAATAAAATACTAATAAAGAGATTACAGCAATATATTACAAGGATCATACATTATGATCAGGTGGGATTTATACCAGGAATGCAGGACTGGTTCAATATTAGGAAAACTATTAGTATAATTGACCATATTAATAACAAAACCAACAAAACTCATATGATTATCTCAATAGATGCAGAAAAAGCCTTTGACAAAATATAGCACCCATTTCTATTAAAAACACCAGAGAGCATAGGAATAAGTGGAGCTTACCTTAAAATGATAAGTAATATTTATCTAAAACCATCAGCAAGCATTATATGTAACGGGGATCAACTAGAAGCCTTCTTAATACAATCAGGGGTGAAGCCATAGCAATAACAGAAGAAAAAGAAATTAAAGGAATTAGAATAGGCAAACAAAACTATCACTTTTTGCAGATGACATGATGTTATACTTAGAAAATCCTAGAGAATCAACCGAAACACTACTTGAAAATATTAATGACTTTAACAAAATTGCAGGATACCAAATAAACCCACATAAATCATCAGCATTTCTGTATCTTACCAAAAAAGTCCAGCAGCAAGAGATATAAAGAGAAATTCCATTTAAAATAACCATAGACAATATAAAATACTCGGCTTTCTACCTGCCAAGACAAATCCAGGAATTATATGAACACAACTATAAAACACTTTTCACACAAATAAAGTCAGATCTAAACATTTGGAAAAATATTAATCACTCATGGATAGGCCAAGCCAATATAATAAAAATGACAATTCTACTCAAAGTAAGCTATTTATTCAATGTCATACCAATCAAACTATCAAAAAATATTTTATAGAGCTAGAAAAAAATAATAATAGAATTCATCTGGAAGAATAAAAGCTTAAGGATATCAAGGGAATCAATGAAAAAAATTCAAAAGAAAGTGGTCTAGCTATACCAGATCTCAAACTGTATTAGAAAGCTGTACTTATCAAAACAATCTGATACTGGCTAAGACATAGAGTGGTGGATCAATGGAATAGATTAGATGCAAGTTACATTATAATAAATGACCATAGTAATCTAGCATATGATAAACCAAAAGATCCAAGCTTTTGGGACAAAAATTTATTATTTGACAAAAACTGGAAAACAGTATGACAAAAAGTAAGTATAGACAAATATCTCACAACATACACCAAGATAAGGTCAAAGTGGGTACATGATTTATACATAAAGGGTGATCCCATGAGCAAATTAAGAGAGGATGGAATAGTTTATCTGCCAGATTTATGGATAAGGGAAAAATTTAGGACCAAAAAATACAGAGAGCATTACAAAATGTAAAATAGGTGATTTTTATTATATAAAATTTAAAAGTTTTTGCACAAACAAAACCAATGCAACCAAAATTATAAGGAAAGCAGAAAACTAAACAAAATTTTTGCAACAAGGATCTCTGATAAAGGCCTCATTTCTCAGATATATAGAGAACTGAGTCAAATTGGTAAAAATGTAAGTCATTTCCCAATTGATAAATAGTCAAATGATATGAACAGGCAGTTTTCAGATGAAGAAATTAAAACTCTCTGTAGTCATATGAAAACATGCTCTAAATCACTATTAATCAAAGAAATGCACATTAAAACAACTCTGAGGTACCACCTCACACTGATCAGAGTGGCTAATATGACAAAAAAGAAAAATGTTGGATGTTGGAGGGGATGTGGGAAAACTGGGACACTAATGCATTTTTGTTGTGAGTTGTGAACCGATCCAACCATTGTAGAGAGCAATATGGAACTATGCCCAAAGGGCAACCAAACTGTGTATACTTTTTGATCCAGCAATACCACTGCTAGGTCTATATCCCAAAGACATCCAAAAAAAGGAAAAGGACTTATTTGTACAAAAAAAATTTATAGCAGCTCTTTTTTGTGGTGGTTAAGAATTAGAAATCAAAGAAATGGCCATCGATTGGGGAATGGCTAAAGAAGCTGTGGTATACGATAATAATGGAATATTATTATGCTGTAAGAAATGACAAGCAGATGATCTCAGAAAAACCTGGAAAGACTCACACCAACTGATGCATAGTGACATGAACAGAACCAGGAGAATGTTATACACAGTAACAGCAATATTGTTCTATGAAGAACTGTGAATGACTTAGCTATTCTCAGCAATACAATGATCCAAGACAATCCCAAAGGACTAAATATGAAGCATACTATCTGCCTCCAGAGAAAGAACTGATATTGATTGAATACAGACTAAAGGATGCTGTTTTTCACTTTCTTTTTTTCATTCTTTTATTTGTCTTCTTGTAAAAATTATTAACATTGAAATGTTTTACATAATTGCACATGTATAACCTATATATCATTGCTTACTGTCTCCCTTGAGAGACTTTCCTTCCTTGGTGGGGTGGGGGTTGGAAGGGGGAGAGATAGAATTTGGAATTCATATTAAAAAGTTTAAATAAAAATGTTTTAAAACGTTAAAAAAAAGAAACTTACTTAAAAAAAAGACCTTCTATAAATATTTTTGTTCATGTAGGTCCTTTTTTATGATGTCATTGAGATACAGACCTAGTAGTTATTTCCGGGATCTTAAAAAGCATACAAACTTAATAAATATGGAGGAAAAAACAGGCTACATGTTCTCATAGTCTTCTGTCTCTGGATTGCTTCTGATGTTCTGTGGTTGTGTCAGAACACCCAGGATATAAAAATAATTATTATAAGCTGTTTGATGCTTCCAAGAAGGACCATGTCAAAAGCAGACTTTTTTTTGTCCATCCTAGAGTTATTGGAAACACTATCACATATCTCAGTAATCAATGATCTGCAGGAAAAGAGACAGCAGAGCAAACTCATTATAACTACTAACTTCAAGTTCCTCACTTCCCCAAACCTTCCAGCAGGGTTTCTAACAAATAGACAAATTGACTGATTTCAGTCTCACCTTCTCTACTGACTTTTGCTTATTTTCTGATTCACTGTATCCTTACCTTCTGCCCTGCCTGTCTTTTGGCTATTTTGCCAGTACTATCAAAATATAATTCACCAACCAAATGATTGGAATAGATTTTGTAGAATCAAGCATTTGCTGTAGAAATTTCAAAGGCCAGTAAGTCAGTGCTTGGTTAAATATTTTTCTTTGTCTGAAATATCTCCTCTGGGCCTTATGATAAGGTGTTGTTGTTTTTCCAAATGGGAAGAATTATTGTTTAAGTGCCTCATGGTGTTGATTTTCACAGATGGGAAGATTCATGCTGAAAATGAAGGAAAGGGAATAAGACAACTGTTATTGTGGCTGAAAAAAGTAAGTAGCAACCTGTTTGATGATGTGTGTTTGATAATGTTTGATAACGTTCCCTTTCCCCTTTTTCTATAAAAGACATGGACCATGGTTTATCATGGAAAGAAAACTACTCAGACTGATTTATATTTTTCCTTTGTCTGCACCCTTATTTGAATTTGAAGAATGCCATTGGAGAAAAGGTGACTCTTTTATTGAAACTTGAAATTTAGAATTTGGATGAAAAGAAAATGACTGACCTCTCTCTCTCTTCTTGCTCTCCCGTAGGGCTGGAGTTTGAATTACAGTTTTTCTTCCAGTATATTAGTGCTCCAACTAGCCCTAGAACTACTGCTGAAAAAAAAAAAAAAGCCCAAATTGAGAAGAACACAATAAAATTGTGAGATGAAGGGACTTAATTATGTTTGAAAGAGCATATAAAAGAAAATTAATAACTAGCTACCAAGACGGACAAAGAAAAAGACTTTTCAATATGCACTCAGTTTGAGAATATCAGAAGTAGGTAATAAATCTGAAGAGAGGCCACAAGAATCTATGAAGTACAACTGAAATAAAACTGGTAATTAGAACCCATTTCTAGCAAAAAATTTTTTACTACATTTGCCTTATTTATTTTTACTTTTAAAATTTTTATCGACCAATTAACAGATACTTATTTTCTCTCCATCCCACCTTCCCCCTACAGTTTCCTTTGACCAATATTGACAATAACTGGAATGAAGCAAAACAAGAGGGCTATGATGAGCACTGGAAGGGTCAGTGTGAATGCTGCTACATTTCTGGGGTACTTGTTAGAGACACATCATTGGGATAAATCCTTTTTTTTGTGAGATTGAAGAACAGAGGCAGGGGGAGGGAAGGGGGGTGGGGGGAGAGAGGGAGAGAGAGAGAGAGAGAGAAGAAAGGTTAGAGACCATTACACTTCACTGAAAGTTATGGACATTTGACATTGCATCCCAGAAACATTAACTCTTCTGGAAGCTTTCAACCCTTTATATCTCTAGGTTAGCAATATTTATGAGAAAACATATCTTCCAGAGTTCATTGTTGTGCAATATATTATTTTGATAAAGAAAATAGACTGCGGCTCTTGAGAAGCTTGTGACTTTTTCACATGTAACCTTCAGATTATAAAGACCTCTGAATATCATTGCTTAACCACTTCTCAGGATAGAGATACCCATGGGAAGTGATGTCTAAAATACCTGAGACCTAATCCCCTTCCTAATTCTTGTTAGTCAAGAAAAGAGAGTAGACAAAGGAATCTCGCTTACTTTGTCTAACATCCTGGCCATCTACAAAACTTGAATCAGTAGAACAAGTATACACTGGCACTCTAAAATCCTGCACATGCTAATTAAGTGTTGTTTAGAGAAATAGAAGAACCTGAAGAATATGATATCACGAACCAAGAAAAGAGACAATATAGGAGAGATAAGAGAGGTCAGCAGTAATAAATTCCATAAGGTCAAGGAGAATTAAAATGGAAAAAAGAACATTGCATTTGATGAATAAGTAGTCATCAGTGACTTTTGAGAAAGCAGAAGCAGGGTATAGAAACCAATTGCACCATCATTCTCTCAGTCTCCCATGTTGGAAACCTTAATGTTATCATTGACATTTTCCTCTCCTTCCCTTCTCTTTTCCTGTCATTCAACAAAATGTTTTCTACCTCTGCAATATTTCTCTCTCCCTCTCTTCTTTCCTTCCTTCCTTCCTTCCTTCCTTCCTTCCTCACTTTCTCTGTTTCCTTTAATCCATTGGAGAAGGAAATTGCAAACCACTCCAGTATCTTTTCCAAGAAAACTCCATGGACAGTATGGTCCACAGGGTCATAAAGGATCAGCTATGACTAAACAACAACCACCTCTCATTGCAATGTTTCTTTTATCCTTGTGCTCTTCTCTTTTCCCATTGTTATCAAACTAGTATAGGCCCCCATAAACTACCAAATAACTACTACTATAGCTTCCTAACACGTCTTCTCACTTCCACTTTCCTCTTCCCTTTAAACTTTTTCATCCTGAAAGATCACATCAGTCCTAGAACTCAAACATTATCTGTATCCTCTGCCCCTGAGCCCCTCCTTCCCTCTATTTGCACTGAGAAGACTTTTTCCCCCCACAACCTCAATTTAATGAGAGTGCTCAGGACAGCCATCTTTCATTTCCAACCTGGCTGTATTCCATTGGACCTCTCCATCATGACACCATGATCGATACCTTCTTCCTGTTTTTATATGCTGTCTTCCCCTCTTAGACTGTAGATTCTTTGAGGGCAAGGACTGTCTTTTACCTTTCTTTGTATCCCCAGTACTTAGCATGTTGCTAGGTTCATAGTAAGTACATAATTGACATTTATTGACTATACCACTGCCAGACTAATTTTCATTATGTGCAGATTTGAACAGATCACTCTTCCAATTAAAACCTTCCAGAGCTCCCCTTTCCTTCTGTGTAAAGTTCAGTTTCTTTATCTGGCATTCAAAGCTATCCACAATCTGACACCTTCTTATCTTTCTAATATTTCTCATCTAATTTCTGTCCCCATAGTCCATACTTTAGTCAAACTGGACCACCTTTCCTTACATATACCTTTCACTTTCTGCCTCCACGCCTTTTGTCATGCTATTTCCTGTGCCTATTAAAGGCCACCCTTCTCCCTGTTTACCAACTAAATTTCTACAACTCAAATTTTACTTCTAGTAGTAAACCTTCCTTGAGCAATCTCTCAACCCAAATTAGTAATTGTTTTCTTTTTCATACCTCAGAAAGCACAGAGGAATAAAGTAGAAAGAAAACCAGATATAAAATCATAAGACCAGAGTCCAAATTCTGGCTCTCCTACTTTCTTGACCGGACCCCTTTCCTCATCTGTTAATTTCAGTGAGTATGCTAGATGCTAGGAGGTCTTTAAGGGCCATTCCAGCTCTAAAATACTATGATCTGTTCACTTCAAATTGTCTTGCTTCACTGTATATTAAAGTTCTTTATTTCTGTCTTGGAGAGGGTGGAGATCGTAAGCTCTATGAGGTCAGGGACAATGTCTTGTTTAAACTTTGCATCTCCTCTAGTGGCTAGCATAGTGCCCTTCACACAGTGGGCTCATAATAAATGTTGGTTCACTTATACACAGTAACAGCAACATTGTGCGATGATCAGCTATGATAGACTTAGCTCGTCTCAGCAATACAGTGATCCAAGACAATTCCAAAAGACTCATGATGGAAAATGCTATCCACATCTAGAGAAAGAACCATGGGGTCTGAATGTAGATTGAAGCATACTATTTTTAGGGTTTCTGTTGTTGTTTTTCCCTTTTGTTCTGTTTCCTCTTGCACAACATAACTAATGTGAAAATATGTTTAACATGATTGCACATGTATAACCTATATCAGATCGCTTGTCATCTTGGGGAGAGGAGAGAGGAGAGGAAAAAAGAAACATCTGAAACTTAAAATCTTATTTAAAAATGAATGTTGAAAACTATCTTTATATGTAATGGGAAAAATAAAATACTATTTACAAAAGAAAAAAAAAGTTGGTTCAATTGAAATACCTCCCTACAGCTACAAGCGGCAGCAGCAGTGCAATGTCTTTGGAGGACCTACCATGTGGAATGTAAAAGGCACACGGTCTCCTGAGACACTCCTTAAGAAACACATCCTATTGCTAAGAGCTCTAGTGGAGTAAGGAGATCACCATAGACAAATACTTAATTTCTCCACTCTCAGTTTCCTCATTTGTAAACTGAATGACTTAGACTAGATCAGGGGTTCTTAACTTTTTTATGGACCCTTTCTCAGAATGTTTTTGAATGCATAAAATAGAACGCATAGTATTATAAAACAAATAATTATATCAAAATACGGTTTTCAAAATATTTTTTAAAAAATAACTGACCCCAGATTCAGAACTTCTGGACTAGATGGTCTCTAAGGTGTTTCCCAGTTCTTGTTCTACTATTACTTATTTTAATGCTCCTGAGATCTGTGATTTAGTAAATGTGGGTGGTCCTTCCATGATTCAGATTACAAACCCTTTATTGCTGTGGTCCAAATATGCATCATTTTGAAGACAATCTGATGATAAATCTCTCCAAATTTAGCCAGGTTGGTCCACAAACAATAGACATACTGATTGCCAATGACCCTATCTTCAATGTCTTTCCAAACTAGTAGAACTCTATCCAGAGCTTTCATACCTCTGACAAAGCATTCAGGAACACAGTATCATATCCATACCATAAAGAAACATTGGACTGGACTTCATAGCTTAAATGACTTAGTTATTTTGACACTGAATCATTTGGAGACGTGACTTAGAGTAGTGTATAAGGTTAAGAAGACTAGAGTTCAAATATCGTCTCTGACAGAGTAACTGCATGACTATGGACAATAGATCTAACCTCTCAAAGCCTCAGATAGAAATTTCAGAATAAATGTATTGCTCTTTGATTCATGGGAACCTGTCCTGGACAAATCTTTTGTGTGTTTGTCACATGAACTATGCTTTTACATGGATGCCGTAAATTCTACATAAATTCTACATAAAATGTAACCGTGTACAAAAAAACTCTGACTAAAAGCCACATATACATACCAATGTATATAAATACATATACACACATACATACGAATACCAAATATACATACCACCAGGAGCTAAAATGGCCCACAAAATAATACAGGTGTTGTTGAAAGAGTTTCCTTGACTTGGCTCTATATGCAAAGAAAGACAAATTGTTAAATAGTTGTGCAAGCAAAAAAAGATTACCAAAAGTATTGGGTGCTACAGTTCAAACCTTAACAGTACTAAAACAGTTCTAAAAAGAAAACAGACTGGTATTCAACTTGGTTTAACCCTGAAAACTAACTCCATCATATATTTAAAATTGATAAAATTAAAAGGAAACAATGACAAATCTGAGCAAAACCATTATTTGAATCCTGGATACATTTTAAAGTGAAGAGAGCAAAGTGAACATTAATACAAGTATATGAAGAATTAAGAGAAGCATGGGAAGATTTATGTGAACTGGTACAGAGTGAAGCAAGAAGATGAAGAAAAACATATATTGTGACTACAACAGTGCTCTCTATGGCAACTGCCTACATTGCTTCTGAATTGCTGTGGGGTTGGAAGCCTATTTACTTTAAAGTTAGCAAATTTAATGCCTTAAAAAAACACTTTTGCCTCTCAGGTGCCCAAAACACATTACTTTGGCGATTGGCTTGGATAAATCATGCTTGGGGAAAAATCATCTGAAATCTTTTGGCTGTTAACTTAGGACATAGGTACAGTGTGAAGGGCACTGAATTTAGAATCTTAGGACCCAATTTTGAATTCTGGACATTGTGTGTATTATCTGTATGTTGCTGGACAAGTCATTTAATCTCTTTGGGCCTCAATTTCCTCATCTGTAATATGAGGTGGTTGGACTAGATGGCTTCTAAAGTGTCTTCCAGCTTTTGTTATGTTCCTATGAACAACAAACCAAAACTGAATACTTTGTGATTATAATGACCAAGTTCAGTCTGGGAAAAAAAGAGAAAATTCACCTCAACCCCCATCTATCCAGAAGTAGGGGATAATGGATATGGAATATTATGTATACTATCAGTTACGAAGGTGCTGATTGAATTTGCTAAACTGTTGTGGGGTTTTTTTTTGGCCTTCTTTCCTTTTATCCTTTGTCACAAGTGGAGAGAGGAAGAAATATTTTTAGAAACCTAAGTTACATAAAACAAAATGTCAATTTAAAAATTTTAAACGTGAAAAGAGACCATAAGTTAAATGTATCATAACCTTTACTGATCTTTGAGAATACTCTCTACTGAAAATTTATCTATAAGACTATCCACATACTAAGAATTCCTGACCTAAAAGACTAGCTTTTGGGTTGAGGTGGTCTCTTTAAAGACATTTTGTTACACTGAATTTCTTTCTTTCCAGTGTTGTGTCAGAGTATATGCTAGCTATCTTGAACATTTGTGCACTTTTAAAGGAATAGGGCAGGGGCAGCAGTGGCCCATCTCTTCTCCCCAACTTCAAAATTCTACATAATAGCCTTTATAAAGACATACCTTGTTTTATTGTGCTTTTTTAATCACACCTTGCAGATATTATGGGTTTTTTTTTACAAATTGAAGTGGCAACTCTGCATCAAACAGTTCCATTTTTCCAAGCAAGTGCTCACATCATGTCTCTGTGTCACATGTTTGTCATTCTTGCAATATTTCAAAATTCATTATTATTATATCTGTTATGGCAATATGTGATCAATAATCTTTGATGTTACTATTGTAATTGTTTTGAGGAGCCATGAACTGTGCCCATATAAGATGGTGAATTTAATCAATAAATAAATGTTATATGTGTGCCGACTGCTCCACTGACTGGCAATTCCCCAGTCTCTCTCCCTGTCCTTGACCTCCCTTTTTGTTGAGACATAGTGATATTGAAGACTATTAACTAAATTTAGTTGATAAAGCAGTGACAGTGTTTGAGAGGATTGATTCCAATTTTTTTTCTTTTTTTTATTATTGTTACATTCTTTTTTTACTTCTTTTTTTTATTTTTAGTTTTCAACACTTACTTCCACAAGATTTTGAGCTCCAAATTTTCACCCCATCTCACCCCTCCCCCCACCCCAAGATGGCATGCATTCTGAATACCCCTTCCTCTAGTCTGCTTTCCCTGCTATCTCTCCTCCCTTCCCCTTCTATTTTCCTATAGGGCAGGATAGATTTCTGTACCCCATTTCCTGTATTTCTTATTTCCCAGTTGCATGTGAAAACATTGTTTTTTAAACATGTGTTTTTAAATTTTTGGGTTCCAAATTTTCTCCCTGCCTCCCTCCCCACCCACCCTTATTGAAAAGGCAAGCAACTAAATATAGGTTATGTATGTGCAGTTATGCAAAACACTTCCATAGCAGACACGCTGTGAAAAACTAACTCTATTTCCCTTAATCCTATCCCACCCCCCCATTTATTCTATTCTTTCTTTTGACCCTGTCCCTCCTCAGAAGTATTTGCTTCTGATTACCCCCTTTCCCAATCTGCCTTCCTCTCTATCATCCCCCTACTCTCTTGTCCCCTTCCCCTCCTATTTTCCTGTAGGGTAAGATAGATCTCCATACCCAACTGAATGTGTATGTTATACCCTCCTTAAGTCAAATCCTATGAAAATAAGATTCACTCATTTCCTCTCACCTTCCCCCTGTTCCCCTCCACTGTAAGAGCTTTTTCTTTTCTGTTTTTTTGTGAGATAATTTACCCCATTCTACCTTTCCCTTTTTCCTTTTCCTAGTATAATCCTCTCTCACCCCTTAATTTTGTTCTCCAGATATGACCCCTTCATCTTCAACTCACCCTGTACCCTCTATCTATCTATCTATCTATCTATCTATCTATCTATCTATCTATCTATATATACATATAATTTTTTCCCTCCAATTACCCTAATACTGACAAAGGTCTCATGAGTTACAAATATCATCTTTCCATGCAGGAATGTAAACAGTTCAACCTTAATAAGTCTCTTATGATTTTTTCTTTCCTGTTTACCTCTTCATGTTCCACTTGAGTCTTGTATTGGAAAGTCAAATTTTCTATTCAGCTCTGGTCTCTTCATCAAGAATGCTTGAAAGTCCTCTATTTCACTGAATGACCATTTTTTCCCCTGAAGAATTATACTCAGTTTTGCTGGGTAGGTGATTCTTGGTTGTAATCGTATCTCCTCTGCCCTCTGGAATATTATATTCCATGCCCTGCGGTCCCTTAATGTAGAAGCAGCTAAATCTTGTGTTATCCTGATTGTGTTTCCACAATACTTGAATTGTTTCTTTCTGGCTGCTTGTAATATTTTCTCCTTGACCTGGAAACTCTGGAATTTGGCTACAATATTCCTAGGAGTTTTCCTTTGGGGATCTCTTTCAGGTGGTGATTGGTGGATTCTTTCAATGTCTATTTTGCCCTCTGGTTCTAAAATATCAGGGCAGTTTTCCTTGATAATTTCTTGAAGGATGATGTCTAGGCTCTTTTTTTGATCATGGCTTTCAGATAGTCCAATAATTTTTAAATTCTCTCTCCTGTATCTATTTTCCAGGTCAGTTGTTTTTCCAATGAGATATTTCACATTGTTTTCTAATTTTTCATTCTTTTGGATTTGTTTTACAGTGTCTTGATTTCTCATAAAGTCACTAGCTTCCAATTGCTCTATTCTAATTTTTAAGGAAGTGTTTTCTTCAGTAATCTTTTGGACTTCCTTTTCCATTTGGCCAATTTTGCTCTTTAGGGTATTCTTTTCTTCATTGGCTTTTTGGACCTCTTTTACCATTTGGATGAGGCTATTTTTTAAGGTGTTATTTTCTTCAGTATTTTTTTGGGTCTCCTTTAGCAAGCTGTCAACTTGCTTTTCATGATTTTCTTGCATCACTCTCATTTCTCTTCCCAGTTTTTCCTCTACTTCTCTTACTTGCTTCTCAAAATCCCTTTTGAGCTCTTCCAAGGCCTGGGACTGATTCATATTTTTCTTGGAAGTTTTGGATGTAGGAGTTTTGACTTTGTTTTCTCCTTCTGGTTGTGTGTTTTGATCTTCTTTGTCACCAAAGTAAGATAATATAGTCTGACTCTTTTTGTGCTGCTTACTCATGATCCCAACCAATTACCTGAGTTTTAAACTATTTGTTAAGGTAAGAGTCTGTTTCCAATGTGGAGAATGTATTGTCCCAAGCTTCAGGGGTTTGTACAGCTGTTTTCAGAGGTACTTCTAGGGACCTGAAAGGGTTATTTCTTTCAAGGTGCTATGATAAGGGGCGAGGTGTTTCCTCTCCACCACCACAACAAGCTCCATCATGCCAGTGTTCCTCTTTGCCCCAGGACTGCCCCTCAGAACTGTGACCCAAATCTAAGCATGGGCAAAGCAAGAGATTCCTGCCTCAGCACTGGCAAAGAGATCCTTGCAATACCCCTCTGATCAGCCACTGGATTCCCCCTCAGTCTGTGGGCAGGAAGCTCTGAAGCCAGCCGCTGCCCTCGGGGCAGCTGAGATCTAGCTTCCTCTCACACTGCAGTTAACAGATGTTTCCCCACTGACCTTCTAAGCTGTCTTTGGCATTGGTGGGTTGAGAAGTCTGGAAATCGCCACAGCTGCCTGCGATTCAGTCCTCTGAGGCTTGCTCCAGGGTCACTGCGGCCTGCATGCCCACGCCAAACTGTGCTCCTCTCCTAGCCCGGCGCGATATACCTTTCTGATCAGCCATCCAGGTTGTCTTGGGCTGGAAATTTGTTTTACTCTGTTTTTTCTTTTGTGGGTTCTGCTGCTTTAGAATTTGTTTAGAGCCATTTTTTGTAGGTATTTGGAGGGCTTTGGGGGTGAGCTCTAGCAAGTCACTGCTTTCCCTCGCCATCTTGGCTCTGCCCCCCGATTGATTCCAATTTTGAAAAAGAGTTCTACTATGGGTAAATTTCTATCAAATAGCATTACATGCTACAGAGAAATCTTTCATGAAAGGAAGAGTCAATCAATGCAGCAAACTTCACTGTTGTCTTATTTTAAGAAATTGTCACAGCCACCCCAACCTTCAGCAACCACTACTCTGATTAATCAGCAGCCATCAAAATAGAGGCAAGACCCTCTACCAGAAAAAAGATTATGACTTACAGAAGGCTCAGCTGATGGTTAGTATTTTTTTTTTTAGCAATACTGTATTTTTTTAATTAAGGTATGTACTTTTTAGAAGATATGATACTACTGAACGCATAATAGACTACAGCATAGTATAAATTTAACTTTTATTTGCAGTAGAAAACCAAAACATTCATGTGACTCACTTTATTGCAATATCTACTTTATTGCAATGATCTGGAACTGAACCCACAATATCTCCAAGGTATGCCTTTAAAGAAAATTTGTCCTGTTTGTTTTGAAAAAGGAGGGCAATCAGTCCTTGACATCTCTGTTTCAAGAACTAACATTTGATGGACACAGGGAATTTTGGATCAAGTAAAGATTAATTTCATTGCCAAAATCAGCTCTTCATTTTCTTGCTTGACAACTCATACATTTCTAGTTCTATTGACATATTTTATATTTTAATAGTTCCATTCTATTACCAAACACTGTAACTTACCAACTGTCAAAGGTTGTACGGTGAGCTCAGTATAGTTTACAGATGAAATGTTGCAGAGGTATTTCCCATTATTTGATGGAGTAGGAGACATTAAAGTCAATGAGAACTTATACTTTTCTTGCGTCATGTCTTTGGTCCAAGTGAATCGATTATCAAAGACTACTCTACTTGAAGAACTTGAGAAAGATGCCAAGATCGTGGAGGATGAATTTTCTACTCTGTACCAACTAACAGTTATACTTTTCTCTGGCGAAAAATCCTCATTTTTAAGTTTACATGGGAATAAAACTTTTTTACCTTCTGTTGTTAAAAGAGTACCTAAAAGAGAGAGATTGATAATAGAACATGGGTTAAATTGATCACTTTTCATATCATATTCCCATATTTCAAAGATTTAATAAAAAGTTGAGAACCAGCCTATAGAGTGAAGAAGATTCTTTCTTGGTCTTGGGGTCAGGAGGATCTGGTTCAAGTCCTGCCTTTGACCCATACTGGTTGTGGGATGATGGCCAAATCATTTAACCTCTGAGTTACCCAAGCTACTCTGTTAAGACTCCATATTGTACAACAGTTGCTGCATTTGTGGAGGGAATTGTTCCATCAGGTACTCCCTACTGATGAAATCACAGGTATGATGAAAAGGAAAGAACAAAAAAGTAATGACTTTACTGTATTCAATAATAATATGACCACAAAGTATCATTATTCTAATCATTTAAAAGTATAAATACAATATTAAGAGAATAAAGTGCTATGAGTTCAAATTTGTTTGGAAAATATAGTATTTACTAGTAAAGTCACCTGATGTTATGGCATTTTCCAACAACCTTGTTTTCTGTAATGGCTCTTTGAATGAGACAGGGTAAAGACTGGGCCTGTGATTCCATTTGGAACTCCCATGTGAAGAAACTTCCTCTACAATGCAGGATATCTCCTCTGCAACTTGGAGCCTTAGAGAGTTACTTAGAGCATGGAGAAGTTAAGTGACTTGCCTAGGGCCATATGACCAGTATGTATCTAGTAGTTCTCTATATGGCTGCCTCAGTGTGAGGGAAATGATAAAAATAATGAGAATTGACAATTATGATTGAAGATGCTGCTTTGAAATAACATAATTGTTACTCTGAGTAAAGAGACTCTTAGGAATTATTAAATCTTGTTTGGGTAGTGTACACTAAGGGAGAAAGGCTGATTTTCTCATGGTGTTTTCTTCCTTGCCCTCAATAAAAGCAATTAAAAAACAACTTACAAATGTTCAAACTTTTTCCATTCTTCCATTGCTATCTGTCTGTGAAAGCCTGGCTAATGAAATAACATAGTTTTTCAGTACCTTTAATATCTTCATCAGGGGATGGTGGAATTATCTTTGAGAACAATGCTTCCTCTGTGAATACCTTTGGTATCACAATTCTTGAGGTGAGGGGGTTAAAGAGAAGATAGCTTGGATCCTTACTATCCCCATGAGATATTTAGGAAAACTTTATGAATACTGCTTCTGTTTGGATAGAAGCCAGGATGAGACTTGAGAATAGTGACTTGAGAGGTGGGGGTGGGGAGGAGGGTTTGGAATGTGAGCAATCTTGTTTGTAGATTTAAAGGAAGAGACAAAGCAAGAAAATATGATAGATGAGCTACTGTCAGTGATATTGGAAATGATGTGGGGAAAAAACGAGGGATACCACAAGATTAGGGCAGGGAAGATGTCCCAATTTTCAAAAATGGGAAAAGAACAATTTGCAAATTACAGGCCAATAAGCTTGGCTTTAGTTCCTGGGAAAATTCTGGAACAGAGTATTCAAGATGGTTTGTGAAGATCTAAAACAGGAAAGCAGTGATTACAAAGAGCCAACGATGATTCATCAAGAATAAGTTATGCCAGACTAACCTCATTTCTTTTTTTGATAGGGTTACGAGACTGGTACATAAGGAGAATTCTTTTAAATATGGTTGACCTAGATTTTATTTTTGGGGGGACAATTGACTAGAGACTTTATTCCAAGTTGACATTGAATGATTAATGACTAATCTTTTGGTTCTGCCTTTCAGCCATGTCTGAATACTCTTAAATGTTATTCTCTCAGTCACATTCCTCCATCATGGCCACAAGAACAGATTTTGCTAAATGCTTTTCTACAGTCCATTACCTAGATTTTAACAAAGCTTTTTTTCTCATACTGTTCTTGTGGAGAAGAAGAAGAGTCGTGGAGTAGTGGTAAATCATTTAGATACATTTGGAACTGGTTGTTTGGCTGGACTCAAAGAGTGGTTGTTAATGGTTCAATATTAGTTTGGCAAGTGGTCTCCAGTAGAGTACCCTCAGGATCTAGTCTTGCCCCTGTACTATTTATTAATTTTTCCAATAACTTGGAAACTGCATAGATGGCACACTCATCACCTTTGTGAATGACATAGTCAATAAATATTTATTAAACACCTACTATGTATCAGGCTCTGTGTTAAGTGCTGGAGATACAGAGAAAGACAAAAGACGCAAAGCTCAGATGGATAGCTAGCATACTGGACGACAGAGACAGTATTGAGAAAGAGCCTGACAAATTAGAGCATTAGCCTGAACCTAATGAGAAATTCAAGAAAGATAACTACTAAGACTTATACTTGAATATAAAAAATCAACTTCATGAGTAAAAGATGGGGGTGGCATAGTTATACAGCTGATGGTCTGAAAAAGATCAGAGGGTATTGATTAACTGACTACAACCTCAGTATGAGTCAGTATAATTTGATAGCTAAAAATGCTAATACTTTTCTTAAAGATCTTGGGCTGCATTGAGAGGCATAACTTCCAAGAAAAAGGAGGTGATATTCCCAACATATTCTGCCTTCATCAAATCTCATCTGAAGTACTATGTTTAGTTCTGGCTATCACTGTTTAAGAGAGACATTGAAAAGTGTACAGAGGTGAGCAACAAGGATGCGGAAGGGCCTGGAGATAGGCTGAGGGAACTGGGAATATTTAGCCTGGAGAAAAAAAAGATTTGGGGGTTGGGAGGGAGGCTGGAGAAACATGATAGCTGTCTTGGAGAATTTGAAGGTCTGCCATGTGAAAGATGTTTCAGACTTACCCTGTTTGCCCCATAGGACAGAGCCAATAATGAAGGGGAGAAATTTCAAAGAGGCAAAGTGAGGCTTGATGTCAGGAAAAAAAGAAAACAAACTTCCTAAAAAATTTATTGTTGTTTAGCTGGTTAATCATGTCTGACTCTCTGTGATCCCATTTGGGGTTTTCTTGGCAAAGATACTGAAGTGGTTTGTCATTTCCTTCTCTAGCTCATTTTAAAGACGAGGAAACTGAGGCAAACAGAGTTAAGTGACTTTCCCAGGGTCACACAACTAGTATCTGAGGCCAGATTTGAATTCAGGAAGATGTGTCTTCTTGATTCCAAGCCCAGTGCTTTACCCACTGCACCATGAGTACTTGAGAGCAGATGGAAAGGTTGCTGTTACAAAGTTAATGGAAACAATAATTCTTTTAAAAAGGAGAACTGGAAGAGAAGGAGGTTGACAGGTGGTAGGGGAAGAAATTTATGTTTAGTTGCTTTTTGGATCTTTTCAAAGCAGATTTCACAGGCTGGCTGATCCCCTTGATTTTAAAATGGATATTGTGGAAGGGTTCAAGATTTAGGTAGGGTATGTACTTCTGAGCTTTCTTTCTGTTGTGGAATGCTATGAAATTGCTCCAAGGAGCCTGGAGACATGTAGCAAATATTGTAAAGAATGAAAATAAAGTAATAAGCAGCAATAACATAAATGAGGCACTTATATCTAAGTATTTAGAGTTGGCCATGGTGTAAGGAAGACCTGGGTTCACTTACAGCCTCTGAAAGATTGACTGTATGACCCTGAGAGAGTCACATGACTTCTCAGCGACTCTCTCTCTAAAATCATAAATTGTATAGCAGGCTGCCCATCTTCATGGGTAAATGGTGTTTCCTCCCCGGGAATTTCCTCCAGCAATGAAATCCCAGGTCAGACGTGCAGTCAACCTTTATTAAGTGCTTATTATGGATCAAATCACTCTGCTAAGTGCTCTTTTTGCCCTCAAGGAGCTGACGTTCTAACAAAGAAGACAACATTCAAAAATGTTACATGCAAAATATTTACAGTATAAATGCAAGATGATATCAGAGGGAAGGCACTAACTAGGGAGTCGAAGTTGGGGTGGGGAAATATCCTCCTGCAGCAGGTAAGAATTTAGTTGAGTCTTGACAGATATCAGGGAAGCCTCTGGAATAGGGATGTAAGAAGGGAGAACATTCCAGGGGACAGACAATAAAAAGGCACAGAATCAGCAGATGGCTTGTTATGTGCATGAAATTCAGTATCACTGTGTCACAGAGTAGTACATGGGGAAGAATGAAGTGTAAGAATGGAAAGGACCATGTCATGAAGGGCTTTAAAAGCCAGAGAGGGTTTGACCCTTGGGGGAAGCAGAAAGTCCTTGGAGTCAACTTAGTAGGGGAGAGGTGATGGCATGATGTAGTCGGACCTGCCCTTAAGAATGTTCCTTCAGCAGCTGAAAGGATGATGAAGGGAAGCACAAGGAGAACAACCTGAAGGCTATATCAAAAGTCCAAGAATGAAGTGATGAGAGCTTGCATCAGCATAGTGGCTATGTGAGTGGAGGGAAGGGAATGGATATATATGAGAGATTTTGAAGGCGCAAGAGCTAGGCAATAGATCAGCAATATGGGGCAAGTGTAAGGAAAGAGTCCAGGATGACATTAGAGATGAGACTGAGGTTGTGAGCCTGGGTGACTGAGAGGAGGACAGTGCCCTCAAATGTAATAATAGGGAAGCTGGAAAGTGGGAAGAATTTGGGTCAAAAAGGTCATAATTTATACATACATGAGTATATACAGACAGTTCTTGCTTTTAGTGGGCTGGCAGCAGGAGCCCAACTCTGGCTCCGGCAGGCTGCTGCAGGGGTGGTGACACTGGGGTCCTCCACTCCAGGCACCGGGCCACCGAGCCATGTAGCCATGGAGGGGTGGGGCCAAGCAGAGGCCCTTGAGGGGAAGGGGAATTCTGCAGGATGTAAGGTCCACTTACATTAAGTGAGAACTGGTTTTATGTATGTGTGTGTGTGTGTGTGTGTGTATACACATATATACATACATATATATGATAAAATTAGAGAAGGGGAGACATATAGCATATATGTATAGAGACTGACACTGACATAGCTGTAAAGAAGTAGACATATACTTCTATTTTGATATACATGTGTATATATACATCTATATATACACATACACACATACATATACATACACACACACACATACATATATATATATATACCTTTGCTTGAATTTCTACATTATTTTGCTTGGTTCATATTGGGTCTTATATGTTCATTAATTATCTCTATAAAAATTATTCCTTAATGTATATATTGAGCTCCAGTTTCTCCCCTGAGCTCCAGTTTCAAATCACCAACTGCCTCTTAGACATAAGAAATCAGATGTCCTCTTGTTGGTATCTCAAACTCAACGTATTCAAAACAAAAATCATTATCTTTTCTATTCAAACTCTCCCCTATATATCTATGTGTATATGTATATATACACATACCCCAAAATACATACTTGTGCAATAGGTACACATATCTGTGTACATATATGTGTATATATATTCACACATATATGTGTATATATATCCATGCACATATGTATACATATACATATATACATGCATATATACATACACATTTTTGTCTGGACCTCTGCTCTATTTTGCTTGGTTCCCATCAGTTTCCATATGTTCATTTCTTATCTTTATGTAGATCTAAGAACCATCTTCTATACAGCAGCCCACATTTATACAGCCCTTTAAGATCTACAAAAAACAAAACAACAACAAAAACTCTTCTGAGCTCTTAAACTCTCTGTGAGTAGAAGCAGTAGAAAACTCACCTTCAGTTTTCCATTTTCCAATCCATCTTTGATTCAGTACCAAATTTTCAATAATGCATTGGTAAGAGGAATTTGAGCCTGTGATATTGAGTTGACTTTTAACAGAAAAGAGAGGGTGAGATAAAACTTCTATGTTGCTTTCCAGGCTTGTTGCGTTATTTGCTGTCCATGTTATAGTTGGAAGGGGATGAGCCCCAAATAAATAGCATGTTAAATAGTCATCTCCATTTTGCTCTTGGTATTCCATTACAGGTGTGATGAAAGCTGGGGGAGAGAATGAGGAATGGGTGAACTTGTAGCCACATATTCTTTCACTGACTGTGGAGGTCTTGTACTGGTACTGTACAAGGTACTTGTACTGTACAGGTCTTGAAATCACATGATATAAAAGTTGGATTTTAAGAGCAAACCCAAGCATCTCTTAAAAAAAAAAGCACTCTACAAAAAATTCTTCAAGCAAGTAATCCCTTTGCGGGATAATAAATGAGACAATACCGTTTATGTACTGTGTTTCCTAGACATCTTCAACTACCTGGATTATAGCTGAGAACACAAAAGTAAGCAGAGGGCAACCAAGTAGACAAAACAGATGTTTCAGAAGCATGCACTCAAGATCAGGCACTTTGTTCAGACAGAGCCCCTCTCAGAGTCTATTTATTTTCACATTACACACAATTTCAACAAAGTTGGTTATTTAGCCTCTAACTTACAGTGTATCAGAAAGGTTGAGTTACGAGACTATTAGAAGCAGGCATGCTGATAGCAGCAAGAAGCAAACTCCAAAAGTCTGAGAGTGAATAAAACTGAAAAACTTTCAGATTGACCCAAGAAAAACCATAGCAGGCTAGAGCTGTTTAGTGTGGGGGTATGTGGGTTTTCAAAAGACTCTGAGAACTTTACTGTGTCACATTACAAAGTTTTAAGATTTGAATTTTTAAAATTCTGAACTTAATCCTTCAAAAAGAACTTTTTTATACCCAGAGTAGAACATCAAAAGAGAATGGTATACAAAACCACGAAGGTCTGTTCCACATAGCTAGTTTGTTTTTTTTTTAAGTATGTAATAAATACAACATGATACTTTCAAAGATATCTTACCTGGCTGTGCTTCCTTCTGGTCTCTTCCATTCATTTCTAAAAAAAAGTTTTCATAACTCCATTTTTCCCCTCCTTTTGTTTTTTTGCATCACTATTACTAGTTCACTTTTTCTCCTCCAAGTTAAAAAAGCACCTTTCTAACAAATAATCATAATCAAGTAAAAGAAATTCACAGAGTGACCATGTCCAAACATGTTAATCTCTTTGTGTACCTCCAGTCTGTCACCTCGCTACCAGGAGGGAGGTAATATACTTCATCATCAATGCTCCCACTCACAGGGGCAGGAATCCTGGTTAGTCACTGCTTTCATCAGAGTTAAATCTTTTAAAGTTGTTTTTCTTTACAGTGTTGCTATTTAAATTATTCTTACAGTTCTGTTCACTCCAGTCTGAACTAAGTTCATATATGTCTTTCAATGATTCCCTAAAATGGTCTCTTTTGTTATTTCTTACATTAACGACAATATTCCATTATATTTACATACTGTCACTTGTTCAGCCATTCCCCAATTGATGGGCATTCCCTTACTTTCTGTCTCTTTGCTAAAACAAAAAAAGTTGCTATGAATTTTGTCGTTATTGTTTAGTTGTTTTAGTTGTGTGCAACTCTTTGTCACCACCTTTGGAGTTTTCTTGGCAAAGATACTGGAGTGGTTTGTCATTTCCTTCTACAGCTCATTTGATAGATGAGGAAACTGAGATAAAGAAGGTTAAGTGACTTGCCCGGGGTCACACAGCTAGTGAGTGTCTGAGGCCAGATTTGAACTCAGGAAGATGAGTCTTCCTGACTCCAGGCCTGGTGCTCTATCCACTTAGCTGCTCCACTGCTATGAGCATTCTTATACTTATATTTCCTTTTCCTTTGATCTCTTTGAGAGATAAGCCATGGTATTACTGAATCAAAGGATATATGCAGATACATACTTTTGGGATATAGTTCCAAACTGATTTTCATAATAGCTAGACTAATTCACAGTTCCATTAACAGTAAATTAGTGAACCAGATTTCCCCAAGCCTTTCCAACAGTTATTATTATTTATTTTAGTTGTATTTGCACCAATCTCATGGGTGTGAGGTCGAACCTCAGAACTATTTTAATTTGAATTCCTTTTATTAGTAGCGATTTGAAGCATTTCCATAAGTTCATTTAACAATCATGCCCAACTCTTGATGACCCCACTTGGAGTTTTCTTGACCGAGGTACTGGAATGGTTTGTCATTTCCTTCTCCAGCTCATTTTACAGATGAGGAAACTGAGGCAAACAGGGTGAAGTGACTCGCTTAGGGTTACACAGCTAGTAATTGTCTGAGGTCAGATTCGAACTAGGAAGATGAGTCTTCATGACTGCAGGCCCAGCTTTCTAGCCTCTGAGCCACCTAGCTGCCCTGCCCCTCACCATACTTTTTTCCCCCCATATTGCTATTGATATCTTGAATTTCAACCTTTCAGAATTGCCAGTTCATATCCTTCAAACATTCACCTATTGGGGGTATGATTCTTGTTCCTATATAACTGAAACAATTTCCTATATGTTTTGAAAATTAGGCCTTCACCAGAGAAACCTGCCATAAAGATCCTACCCCCTCCCTCCCCGTACTACTTCCTCTTGGCACCCATCCTGGCAATTTCTTTACAAGTTTAAAGAAGGTGTGAAAGAGAAAGGACGTCAACACCACTGGTTCATAACCGAAGCAATCTGCTTCTTTTCCACTGCTTCTCTTTTTTCCCCTCCCCTAGGCCCAAGATCACTGGTACTTGTCTTTCCTTTAAAAAAAAAAAATTTAAATGATTGTCATTTCTTTTAAAATTTGAATCCTCCTTGAGAAACAACTCTTCAAAATTGAGATTTGTTTCGCTTGTAACTGTTCCATCCCAGTATTATCCTCTTAACTCCACTCCCCAGTTTATTCCCACCAGTTTACCTGTTGAGTTTGACATCTCTCTACACAAAATTCTATATGTGTATCTGTAATTGTAGGTGTGTGTTAAACCCTCTTTTGTCTAGTTCTGATAAAAATGAGGTTCATTTGATGCTTAATCCCCCATATCTTCTTCCATTTTTGTAAAACCTTGTAAAGCACCCCAGCAATAAGAAATAACAAGTTCCACCCTTTCTTTCTCCTTTCTACTCTAGTATTCCTTTTACTACCACCCTCTCCCCACTTTTCTTTGCCTTCTTAAAACCATTGGAATAAAATCAATCCACCATTATTCCCTCTGTTTGCCTTATTTAACTCAATTCCTATTCTGAAGGGACCTTTGTTTTTTCTCCTCTGCTATTAGGATATTAGTACCTTATTATCATACAGCTCCTTCTGATTGCTTATATAAGTTCATCTTCTCAAGTTTCCCTTGGCTCATGTGTTTATGTTATGGAGTTTCTATTCAGATCTTGACTTCTCATCATGAATGCTTGAAAACCCTCTATTCTGGTGATGTCAGACTCAAATTGAAACAGATCCTTACCAGCAGCATATATAACTTAGAAAATCACAAATTAACATTATATGTTTTATTACATTTTTATTTATTTTGTTAACCATTTCTCATTTCATTTTAATTGAGTCCCCAGGAGAGTGCTGGGCTGCATGTGCCCAAGTGTTTGATACCTCTGCTCCATTCCATTAAAGGTCTAATTTTTCTCCTGTAGGATTATACTCAATTTTGCAGAGAAAGTTATTCATGACTCTTTCTAAGTTATTTTAAGGCATTGTCTTTTATCTTGTGGAAAATTGTATTCCTAGATAGCTTGGGTGATTTTGACTGTGAATCCTTGGTACTTAAATTCTTTCTGATTGCTTGTAGTATATGTTCTTCGATGTGTAAGGTCTGGATTTGGGCTATGACACCCCTGGCACTTTTCCTTTTGGGGTTCCTTTTAGGAGACAGTCAGTGAATGTTTTCTACTTTTGTTTTTCCCTCTGGTTCTAATCAATCTAGAAGTTTTCATTTATGATTTCTTTAAATATACTATTGATGCTTTTTTTGGTAGTAGTTGTTGTTGGACCATAGTTTTAAAGAATCAGATAATTCTCAAATTATTTCTATGTGGCCCGTTTTCCAAGTCACTTTTTTTTTAATTTTGGATACCTTTTTCTGATATATCTTATTTTTTTAATCTTTTGATTTTGTTCTAATATTTATTGTTGTGGAGAAATTGATTTGTATCACATCTCTTCTAATTTTCAGGAAGTCTGTTACTCGGGTTACATTTACTACATTATCTTCTAAGGTGTTTATTCTCCTTTCAATTTTTTTCCCCTAAGAGTTTTTAACTTCATTTTCCTCTCTTTCTTCATTGCTTCTAGATATTTATTTAATATTTGTGGAAAATTCATTTTTCTTGACTCTGTGCTTGAAGTTGTTGTGGATTTGCTCTTTTCTTGGTTGGATTTTTTTGTGTCTTTCTGGATCTATTATAATTCTTCATGGTGATGGGTTTCTTCTGTTTAATCCTATCTCTAGTGTTAGATCCTAAATTGAAGCTTTGTTCTAGGACCAGCCTCCACCTCCTGACGAAACTTTGGTTGGCAGTCAGTCTTGCTTGGCTTTGCTCTGGGTCACCTGGATTCCTGAGCTTATATCCCCCTCCCTAAGTGTGTCTAATCACAGAGCAATGGTAAATTTCTGGTCCTCTTTAATCTTTGAGGTTCATAGCATTTCCAGAGCCCTCCATAACTTCTCAGGCCAGGGAGTTACAGACTTTTAAGCTCCTTCACTTTAAGTATCTCTACACTGTACTTGATTGCTGTTTTTCTTAGACTGTGACTGCTGTTGCCAATGGCTTCCAAGGTCCATGTGATGAATTTACTGGGGTTTCCTCCTAGGAGTTTATTGTTGTTGCTCAGTCATGTTTAGTTGTGTCCAACTCTTCATGACCCCATTTAGAGTTTTCTTGACAAAGATACTTGGAGTGGCTTGACATTTCCTTCTCCAGCTCATTTTACAGATGAAGAAACTGAAGCAAACAGGGTTAGGTGACTTGCCTAGGGTCACACAGCTAGTCAGTGTCTGAGGTCATATTTGAACTCAGGAAGATGAGTCTTCCTGACCCCAGGACCCACACTCCATCCACTGTATCTTATTGCCTCTGCATATAGAGCTGTGAAGGTCTTTGGTGTCTCTGGTCACATACTAAGAAGTTTCCATCTTGTTTGACTCTTTCCTATTTGCCTGTGGGCTTTTCAATGTTTTTTTTTTTATGCAGTTCTGGAGAAGATGAAATCACTTGTAGTTGATCATTGTATTTCTTGCCTACGTCAGTGTAGGTAGCCATTTTAGCCAATCATACCACACTGATCCAATTGTCATCATACCACAATAATTGACATTTGTAATGATAATCCTGAGTTACCAAGGAAAGCTTGCATATGTTTCTGCTCATTTATATAGATTTAGAAAGATATTTTAATGTGTTTGTGCTTAAAAGGACAAGCTTAAGTTATACAGAAAATTCACTATGTGAAATAGCTTATTCCTGAGAGTGCTGATAGTAACCCCTTAACCATCACAGTAACAAAAAAGGCTCTTATATGCACTATTCTACTCCCTGGAACCCCCCCAAAAATGTTTACCTGTATTTTCTATTGTCGTGTGCACAAATCAGTTCAGCTTTGCATTGGCTTTAGGGTTGGGGAGGACTTTGAGAACTGTTTTGTTTTTGTTGTTTGTTGTTTGTTTTTTAAATGTTACTCTGGACACATGAGCCCGCAGTCATGTAAAGGACTGGAGGCTCAGACCCCGTGGGTATTCCCAAGGCAATCTCTTGGAGCGTTGATGGGAAGAGGAACCTCTATAGGTCAGAAAATACTTAGAACATTTTACTTACCACCCAACTTCAGCTCTACTTCTATATGCTTGGTCTCAGCTACTGTTGCTGCATAGCAAGTATAAACTCCTTCATCTTGGAGGTTTAACCTCCTAAGTTCTAGTGAGGCATTTCCATTGTTGATTTCATTGAGAAAAAGGGATGTCCTTTTGGCATAATCTGGCTCCTGTTGTTCCAGATGGTCACTCTCTCTGTAGTAACTGTGTACCAGCTTACCCTCTTTCTGCCAATGAATCACTATGCCATGCCCTTTCTCGAATGAGCAAGGAAGGATCACATCTTCATAAAGCCTTCCAACAACAGTAGTCATAGGCTGAGAAAACAGTCTGTTAAAATAAGGAGAAGGAAATCCATCTAAAAGGAAATAGACACAGATAATTGCAATAAGAATGGAAGAATGGAAAACACCAAAAATATCAAGGGCTATGTCAATCCTGAGTAACTTAGCAAAGGTAAACTGAACCATAACAAAAGCAGGAGAGATGGGCTTTGTCCCAAGATAATGAATTTTAAAGGGTAAAAAAAAAAGGAACAAGTGAGCTTAGCACCAAGTTGTCAAGAATAATCAGTTTTAATAGGGAGCAGTCTCTATAGTCACTGTGGTGGAGGAGGCTGTGCTCAGGAATACCACGAATTTGGAGAAGACATCTTCCCAGAATAAAGAAACAGAGCCATTAGATTATATAAATAGAAACTCTCAGGCAACATTCTACTCCCCTTCATACACTAAGTGAGCTTTGAAAGCTATGAAAACCCAACTGTACCTAAGAAGTTGAAGCTGGGTCAGCTAGGTGGTGCAGTGGATAGAGCACTAGCCCTGGATTCAGGAGGACCTGAGTTCAAATTCAGCCTCAGACACATAACACTTACTAGCTGTGTGACCCTGGGCAATTCACTTAACCCCATTGCCTAGCCAAAAAAAAAAAAAAGAAGTTGAAGCTATGACCAGCCCAAGTAGTCCTCATTAGTACACTAAGATTAATATCTATTTCCCCAGTTACATTCTGTCTGCTCACTTTTTGACCCCTCAGTCTTGCAGATCTCATGGTCAATGAGATTCTCTCTGGAGTCTCATGGAACCCAGGCTGGGAAACTGCCACATCAATACCAGTCCTTCCCCCTCACTGCCACTACTAAATTTTGTCTTAATTACTTGTATTATTTTCACATCATGAACTGCAAAGGTAATTTTACCTCTGCTTTTATTGCTTGTGCTGTTTTCCTCTTGCCCCAAGCACCAAAATTGCTAATTAGAGTTCTGAGGGTAAGTCATATTAGACACATTTATAGAGGGTGATTCTAAATCACGTACCATAAGGCTGATAGGTTGGACTAAGTGATCCCTTAAGAGCCCTCTAATTCTAACAGTCTTCTCATCTTGCATATGAAGAAATTTGAGGCCAACAGAGATGAAGTGATTTACCCGGTCACACATTTAGTTAGTGACAGATCTAGGATTAGAACCCAAGACTCTTGACTAATGGTCTCTTGTTTTTTCCACTGTTAATTCTTCTTTTTCTGTATTGTTGTTCTATGATCAGAAATTAAATAGGGATGCCCTAGAAAAATTGTAGATTCTCATTAAATATTTCTTCAACTGAATTGAGCTAACTTTGGCAATTAGGACCAGACTTGAGCATAGGCAAAAGAGATGGTTGCCTAGATGGTGAGATGTGAATGGAATCATTTGTTTCACTTGTCTCCAAGCACCTTCCATGGTCCATGGCTTGCCTGCCATTTTGTTTTCAGAGCACTCCTGTTAACAATGTAAATGTGCTAAGTAGGAGGTGGTAGCACCAATGTTTTCTTGTAAATGTAACAATTTTAGAAACAGCTAGGTAGGTCGTTTAGTGGCTGGAGTATTGAGCTTGGACTCAGGAAGAATCTAGGTCAAATACTGTCTCAAACACTTCCGTGTGACCTAGTAAGTCACTCACCTCTCTTAGCCTTAGTTTATTCATCTGCAAATGTAGGTAATAATAATATCACCTACCTGACAAGAGTCGTTGTTAAGGACAAAATGAGACAGCACACGGGAAGTGTTTTGAAACTTTAAAGCTATATGTGTGTGTAGTGTGTGTGTGTATATCACATATACATATATACATGGATACATAATATATATGAATGTACATAACATTTATATAATATATAATATAACATTATATATGTATAGTATATACTTATTAATAGTATTATTGTTGTTATTATAGACTAATCAGGTTAGACAGAAGAGAACCCCAAGGCAACTAAACACAGAACAGAGACATGTAGAGATATGGTCATGAAAGGTCTGGAGGTAACATGTGGTTGTTGAAAGAGGAAAAAGAAATAAAGGAGAATTGGGAAGACTTCACCTATTCAATAACTTTTTGAAGACTAAAAAATTCAGGCAAAAGAGCTAGGATTCTTTCATAGGGTACAAATGGGGGGAACTGTAGTTAGTGAGCCAGTTATTAAAATTTCAGATTGAACATTTATGCCTTGAAAATCAGAAAACACTACAAGTCAGGGCTTAATTTATTATTTTGTTGATTTCTAGACAAAGTGATGGAGAAAATATTAATAATGCAGATTAAATTTTAAAATGTCATGATTACCTTTTCTTTTTGGGGAAAAAATGGTTCTTAAACATTTACCAGCATGCCTTTGGGAATACATATGGAATTCTAACCCCCTTGATTTTCCTTTCTCCCTGCAAAAACCTTAAATCATCATTCCAAAAGAGAATAGTCTTCAATAGCCAGAGTCTACGAAGTATTGAGAATTTCTGAGACTGCAAGGTAATTTGTAGTAGCACTAGGGTGCTGAGGGTGAAATCAAGAAGACCTAGGTTTAGATCCTGACTCAGATATATACTCGCTGTGTTGCTTAACCGCTCTAGGTCTCAGTTTCCTCCTCTATAAAATAAGGTTAATAACACCACCTACTTCAATATTGCTGTTACTGTGTGCAATGTTCTCCTGGTTCTGTTCATTTTACTTTGCATCAGTTTATGTAAGTCTTTCCAGGTTTTTCTGAAAGCATCATGCTTGTCATTTTTTATAGCACAATAGCATTCCATCACAATTACATACTAAAGCTTGTTCAGCCATTTTCCAATTGATGAGCATCCCCTCAATTTCCCATTTTTGCCACCACAAAAAGAGTTGCTATGAATATTTTTGTACATACATGTCCTTTGCCTTTGATCTCTTTGTTTAGTAGTGGTATTGTGGGGTCAGATGTGTAGTTTTATAGTCCTTTCTGCACAGTTCCAAATTGCTCTCCAGAGTGGTTGGATCTATTTGTAACTCCACCAACAATGCATTAGTGTCCTAATCTTTCTACATCCCACCAACATTTTTCATTTTCCTTTTCTGTTATATTAGCTAATCTGATAGGTGTGAGGTGGCACCTCAGAGTTGTTTTAATTTATATTTTTCTAATTAATAGTGATTTAGAGCATTTTTTTCATATTACTATAGATAGCTTTGATTTTTTTCTGAAAACTGATTTCATATCATTTGATCATTTATCAAATGGGGAATGACTCATATTCTTATAAATTTCACTCAGTTCATTATATATTTGTGAAATGAGGCCTTTATCAGAGAAACTTGCTGTTAATTTCCCCGCCCCCCCCCCCCATTTTCCTGCTTTCCTTCTCGTCTTGGCTGCTTTGGTTTGTTCGTGCAAAAACTTTTTAATTTGATATAATCAACAATATCCAATTTACATCCCATAATGGTCTCTATCTCTTATTTGGTCATAAATTCTTCTTATCCATGAATCTGACATGCAATATAGTCCCCTAATTTGCTTATGATATCACCTATTATGTTTAAATCATGTTCTCATTTTGACCTTATCTCAATGTACAGTGTGAGATATTGATACCTAGTTTCAGACAAAGTGTTTTCTAGTTTTTTCAGCAATTTTTGTCAAATAATAATTTCTTGCCCCAAAATCTTGGATCTTTGAGTTTGTCAAACACTAGATTACTATGGTCATTTACTACTGTGTATTGTGTACCTAATCTATTCCACTGATCCATTTCTTAGCCCGCACCAGATTGTTTTTATGATTACCTCTTTGTAATACAGTTTGAGATCTGGTACTGCTATGCTACCTTTCTTCACATTTTATTTTCATTGATTCCCTTGATATTCTTGACCTTTTGTTCTTCCAGATGAATTGTTTTAATTTTTTCTAGCTCTATAATTTTGGTAGTTTGATTTATGTGGCACTGAATAAGTAAATTAATTTAGGTAGAATTGTCATTTTTATTACACTGGCTTGTCCTACCCATTAGCAATTAATATTTCTTCAATTGTTTACACCTGACTTTATTTGTGAGAAAAGCATTTTATAATTGTGTTCATATAGTTCCTGGATTTGTTTTGGCAAGTAGAATCCCAAGTATTTTATACTGTCTGTAGTTATTTTAAAAGGAATTTCTCTTTTTATCTCTTCTTGCTGGGTTTTATTAGTAGTATACAGAAACGCTGATGATTTTTGTGGGTTTATTTTTATATCCTGCAACTTGGCTGAAGTTATTAATTATTTCAACTAGTTTTCAGTTGATTTTCTATACCAACATATCATCTGCAAAGAATGACAGTTTTCTTTCTTCTTTGACTATTCTAATTCTTTCAATTTCTTTTTCTTGTCTTACTGCTATAGTGAGCATTTCTAGACTAATATTGAATAATAGTGGTGATAATGAGTATTCTTGCTTCACCCATGATCGTATTGGAAAGTCTTCAAGTTTATGTCCATTACAGACAATGTTTGCTGATGATTTTATATAGATACTACTTAGCCTTTTAAGGAAAGCTCCATTTATTCCTACATTCTCTACTGTTTTTAATAGGAATGAGTGTTATATTTTCTCAAAAGCTTTTTCTGCTTTGATCAAGAAAATTGCATGAGTTTTGTTGATTTTGTTATTGATATGGTCAATTATGTGGACAGTTTTCCTAATATTGAAGCAACCCTGCATTACTGGTATAAATCTCACCTATTCATAGTACATGATCTTTGTGATAAATTGCTGTAATCTCCTTGTATTTTATTCAAAATTTTTGCATCAATATTCATTAGGGAAATTGGTCTATAGTTTTCTTTCTCTGCTTTTCTCTTCCTGGTTTAGATATCAGCACCATATTTGTGTCATAAAAGGAATTTGATAGGACCCCCTTCTATGTCTTCTTCTCTATGTATTTTAACAGGGAATCCCCCAGGCCTAGAATACTTTTCCTTCTTATTTCTGTCTCTTGGCTTCCTTCAAGTCCCAGCTAATATCTCATCTTCTTAAGGTGCCTTTCCTAATCCCCCTTAATGCTAGTGCCTTTCCTCTGTTGATTATCTCCAATTTATCCTGCATATATTTTATTTGTGCACAATTATATTTTATTTCCCAAATATGACATTTTTTAACCTTTCTTCCTATCTCCAGAGCTTAGAACAATTACTGGTGCTAGGTGCTTAATACATGCATGTTGATTGCCCTGACATGTTAAATAACTGTCTTATATTCTACATTTAGGAATAAGTCTGCCAGAAACAATTTTATTTAATATGATTTATTTAATATGATTCTAATATCTGAGCTACTTCTATCCTAGAAAAAAATGCTCATAGTTCCCCCAAGCCCTCCAATAATTTGATGTAACATTTATAGAAATCTTGAACAAGAAAAAGATGATAAAATGTCAAAATATAGTTTAGGATTGACTTCCAGAATAGTCACAACTCAGTTCCTTCCTGGACCATTTACCTCAAGGATTAAAAAGGATCTCTTCCCTGAATTTTAATGATCAGTATCATCCTTCAGAATGGAGAAGGGTGGTTCTTAGTAACAATAACTTTAGCACATAGACAAAATAGGGAATGCCTAGATGGGTCAATAGCTCAGTCACTTCAAGGGATGGAGCAGGAAATGATCTAGAGCAATGGTTTCAAACTCAAAGGGTTGGGGGTGCTAACGAACTATACATGTGGGAACATATTAACTGAGAAAATCACATATTAACATGATCTATGTTTTACTATATTTTTATTTATTTTGTTAAATATTTACCAATCCCATTTTAATCTGTTTCAGCTACTTCCAGAGTGCCTGTCTAAGCTCATGGAATCATATGATTGATACCACTGATCAAGAGGTAGTCTTTGTTCTAGGTTTTGGTAACCATTCTTAATCCATTTTCCCAAGAAAGGCATTTTGTTATTAACTTAGCTTAACTAATCTTCAAAAAGGCAGTTTCAAAGGGCTTTTAGACCAAAGAAATATGATTTTTTAGTATTTTCAGTTTTACTAAAAAAAGGGGGGGGGGTTTCATGTTTCCCCAACTCTTCAGAGGATTATTTTTAAATATGTAAAATAAAATACACAGGATTACAAAAAAAATTAAATAGTTACAAAAATATTTTCAAAACTGATCCCAGGTTAAGAACCATCCCCTTCTCCAATACATGATTCACTCTCTGTATGCAATAATAAAGCTTACCATCAAATCCAATCAGAGGTTGTACAAGAACAGTCAAAAGATAAAGATTAAGTAGTGACTGCACCTTCATGATTTCCACAGGACATATTTGTTAAGCTCCTGAAGAAGCAAAGCAAAGCAAATATCTTTTAGAAAGGAATGATCACCTGGAATCACTTCATACAATCTACTCTAGTCACCTAACCAGCATTTATTAAGAGCCTATTATACGCCAGGGATTATGTTAGCAGTAACTTCTGTAATCCTTTATTTCATGTGAGAGACCCAAAAGAGTTGTCCTAGATTTGAAGAATTCTTTGGGTCTACATTCCTCAAGAACCTTAGTTATGCTGGTTAGACTGGAAAATAGTATGGCAGAAACTAGGTATAGATCAACATCTCACACCACATGGCAAGATAAGGTGAAAATGGGTACATGATTTACACATAAAGGGTGATATTATAAGCAAATTAGGAGAACGTGGAATAGTTTATCTGTCAGATTTATGGATAAGGGAATAATTTAGGAACAAAGAAAATATAAAGAGCATTACAAAATGTAAAATAGATCATTTTAATTATATAAAATTAAAAAGGTTTTCCATAAACAAAATCAATGCAACCAAAAGCAGCAAACTGGGAAAAAATATTTTGCAACAATATTAATCTCTGATAAAGGCTTCATTTCTCAATAATATAGAGAACGGAGTCAAATTTATAAAAATACAAGTCATTCCCCAATTGATAAGTGGTTAAAGGATATGAACAGGCAGTTTTCAGACAAAAAAATTAAAACTATTTATGATTATAAGAAAAAAATGCTCTAAATCATTATTGGTTAGAGAAATGCAACTTTAAACAACTTTTGAGGTACCATCGCACACCTATCAGAGTGGCTAATATGACAAAAAAGAAAGTGTTGGATGTTGGAGGGGATGTGGGAAAACTGGGACACTAATGTACTGTTGGTGGAATTGTGAACTGATTCAACCATTCTGTACAAATTGCAATTTGGAGCTATGCCCAAAGGACAATCAAACTGTGCCTACTCTTTGATCCAGCAATACCACTACCAGGTCTATATCCCAAAGACATCCAAAAAAAGGAGAAAAGACTTATTTGTACAAAAACATTTGCAGCAGTCTTTGTTTGTGGTGGTTAAGAATTGGAAATAAAGGGATGGCCATCAGTTGGGGAATGGCTAAACAAGCTGTGGCATATGATTGTAATAGAATATTATTGTGCTGTAAGAAATGACAAGTGGGGGCAGTGAGGTGGCGCAGTGGATAGAGCACTGGCCCTGAAGTCAGGAGGACCTGAGTTCAAATGTGGCCTCAGACCAAACTCTTGACACTTACTAGCTGTGTGACCCTGGGCAAGTCACTTAATTCCAATTGCCTAAAAAAAGAAAAAGGAAAAAAAGAAATGACAAGCAGAAAAACCTGGAAATACTTACATGAACTGATACATAGTGAAGAGAACAGAACCAGGAGAACATTGTACACAGTAACAGCAATATTGTTCGATGAAGAACTGTGAATGATTTGGCTATTCACAGCAATACAATGATCTAAGACAATCTCAAAGGACTAGTGATGAAGCCTACTATCCACCTCCAGAGAAAGAAATGGTATTGATTGAATACAGACTGAAGCATGCTGTTTTTCACTTTCTTTCCTTCATTTTTTCCCTTTTATTTCAGTCTTCTTATATATAATGACTAATATGGAAACGTTTTAGATAAAAAGAAAGAATCTTAGTTCTCAAACCCCCACCAATTAAATGATTTATTTTCAAGCCAACCAGATGGCAAGATTAGTTCAAAGTCAATGCATTTAATGAAATATTATAGCAAGAAAAATAGTGATAGAACATTTCCCTCCTTAAACCCAGAGTCCAATCTACCACAAATACACCATCAGTAGAAGTGTGAGTATACATCATTATACTATATGACTCCTTATGGGCAATGACCTGTGCAACCAGCTTCTGGGATTCATTTCTTCAGGGTCACCACCTTGACACTTTGACTCCAGTCTGCTGAGACAGAGGTGTCAAACTCATATAGAAATGGATCCCTGTGGGCCACATGTAGACATAGTTTTTTACTTAAAATTTTTGCATTAATATTCATTAGGGTAATTGGTCTATAGTTTTTTTTGTTTTTGATCTCTATGGTTTAGATAACAATGATATTTTTGTCATAGAATTAATTTGGTAGGGCTCCTTCATCTATTTTTAAAAACATTTATATAGTATTAGAATTAATCATTCTTTAAATGTTTGGTAGAATTCTCTTGTAAATCCATCTGGTCCTAGAATTTTTTTTTCCTTAGGGAGCTCATTTCTGACTCATTCAAGTTCTTTTTCTAAAAAAGGGTTACTTAAACATTTTATTTCCTCTTCCATTAATCTGGACAACATATATTTTTGTAAATTTTCATCCATTTTATTAAGTTTTATTGGCATATAGTTGGGCAAAATAGCTTCTCATAATTGCTTTAATGTCATTTTCATTTGCTGTGCATTCACTTTTCATTTTTGATATTGGTAATTTGGTTTCCTGCTTTAAAAAAAAAAAGCAAATTAGCCCACAGTTTTTCTATTTTATTGGTTTTTTTCTTCAAAAAACTAGCTCTTAGTTTTATGAATTTGGAGATTTTAATTTTTTTTTTCATTTTATTAATCTCTTTTTTGATTTTCAGGATTTCTATTTTGGTATTTAATTGGGGATTTTTAATTTGTTCTCCTCCCATTTTTTTTAGTTGCATACCCAATTAATATATCTGCTTTTTATCTCTTTTATTAATGCAAGTGCTCAGAAATATAAAATTTCTCCCAAGTATTCCATTGGCTGTATCCCACAAATTTTGTTATGTTGTCTCATTGTTGTCATTACCTTTAAATGTATTTATTGTTCCTATGATTTGGTCTTTGACCCACTCGTTCTGTAGGATTAGATTATTTAATTTCCTATTGATTTTTATCCTATGCTTCAAAGGTCCTTTATTGAATATAATTTTAACTGTATGGCCAAAAATGTGCATGTAATATTTTTGGCTTCTATGAATTTGTAAGAGTTTTGTGCCCTAATAAATGATCAATTTTTGTGAAGATGCCATGCACAGATGAGACAGATATATTCCTTTCTATTCCTCTTCAGTATTCTCTAGAGAGCTATCGTATCTAACTCTTCTAAAATTATATTTATCACCTTAACTTCTTTCTTATTTATTTTATGGTTAGATTCATCTAGGCCTGAGAGGGGTAACTTGAAGTCCTCTACTAGTATAGTTTTACTTTTCTCTTTTCTCCTGTAATTCATTTAACTTTTCCTTCAAGAATTTGGATGCTATGCCACTGGTGCACATGAGTTCAGTATTGATATTATTTCATTGTCTATGGTACCTTTTCACAAAACATAATTCCCTGGAATATCTCTTTCAACTAGGTGAATTTTTGCTTTTGCTTTGTCTGAGATCATCATTGCTATAACTACATTTTTACTTCACTAGAAGCATAATAGATTTTGTTCTGCCCCTTATTTTAAGTCTGGTGTGTGTGTGTGTATGTGTGTTTCTGTTTCAAATGTGTCTCTTGTAAACAATATTGTTGAATTCTAGTTTCTAACCCCTTCTGCTATCTTTCTCCATTTTATAGGTGAGTTCATTCCATTTTATGGGTGAATTCATTCATATTCACAGTTATAATTGCTGACTCCAGACAGTTCCTGCTTTATACAAATTCAACTTCCTGGGAGGCAGGTGGCAAAACCCTGCACAGCCCCTGCCTCTGGCTCCTACTCCCAGCAGAAGGCAGCAGGGGCAGCAGTGCCAGTGCAGCCTTGTACCAACAGTCTTCTGCTCCAGGAACTGAGGCTAATCCAGCTGCAGGGAGCCTCAGAGTCATGGAGGGGGCAGGGCCATGCAGAGCCCAAGGAGGGGTGGGGGAAGTCTGCAGAACAGAAATGGCTATGTATATTTTCCTTCTTCACATTCTCTTCTAGTTATTTTTCTCTTTTTTACCCTATCTCCTCCTCAAAAGTCTGTTTTGCTTCTAGCCATTGGTTCTCTTAATCCACCTCCTTTCTCTTAGCCCATTCCCTCTCCTACTTCCCAGGATTATTTCAATTTCAACTTTGCCTTCTGGTTCTGAGATATCTGGGTAATTTTCTTTTATAATCTGAAATAAAAGTTGGGATCAAGACCATATCCAGTTGATAAAACCCAGCAGAATGTGAAGATTAAACTCTTTCTCTCTCTTTCTCTCTCTCTCTCTCTCTCTTTCGTTCTTTCTCTCTGTCCAGACAACTATTTAGGATTTAGCAATTAGGATTTAGGGTTAGCAATTGCCACAATCATCTATGGTTTAGCAAAAGAATAAAGGGTAAAGAAATCAAAGTCATTCCACCTAGCCTGAATGGCTGCCTTTATTACGTATATCTGTCAGCAGCAAAACTGCAGCTGTGGGGTTTTTTTGTTTGTTTGTTTGTTGGTTTTTGTGGTTTAGTCATGTCTGACACTTCATGACCTCATCTGGGGTTTTCTTGACAAAGGCACTGGAATGGTTTGCCATTTCTTTCTTCAACTCATTTTACAGATGAGGAAACTGAGGCAAACAGGGTTAAATGACTTGCCCAAGGTCACACAGATAGTAAGTGCCAGATTTGACTTAATGTGACTTTTTGTTGACTTTCCCTGTTTAAAATTTAGTTTGGTGCTTTCTGTGGTCATTTTGTAAAATAGCGTTTGGGGCAGACTTGTCAGTTATGACCTTTCAATCCCACGTCTTGATGCTGCCCTCCCTCCACCCATACTGACTTAGAAAAACCACAAATTAACATCTATGTTTTATTTTATATTTATTTATTTATTTATTAAACATCTCCCGATTACATTGTCATCTGGTTCAAGCTGCACTCAGGAGTTTTGTGAGCAGCATGTGGCGAAGTGTGTTATGACTTTGACACCCCTGTGCCCTCATGCTGTAACTAGAATTCAAAGCCCCTAGTTACATCCTACTGGCTTTTCCATGAACAAGATACTCCGTATCTTGACCCTGGGCATTTTCTCTGCCAATCCCCCATACCTAGAATGCTGTCCCTCCTCCACTGCAACTAC